CCCCCCCCCCCCAAAAAGATAGGCCATCTTCCAGGCAGAACAGCAATACACATCATAGCCTTTGCGTTTGTGTCCCAAGACAAACATTTTAAAGAGATGACTGTGTAAATATTTTAAATTATCATTTTAATTCTATTTAAAGGAAACCATCACTAAATAACAGTATCTACATGACTGGGTCCATGGTTACATCTAACCTGCCGGCCCAACTCGTCTTCATTTTCTAAAAACATTCTATATGGCACTGTCAATAGCACAAACTACTTGTGGATTAGACTCAAGACGTTTAGATTTCAGGATTTCAACGTTCACTTTGTGTGGGAGTTGTTTACAATCCCACTCTTTTGGGTGCCTAAAAGTTCTAGTACTTGAAGTTATTATATAGATCAGTTATCCTTCCTCTATGTTAGCTTCTTTTCATTGACTACCTTATTACAACAAAATTATAGAGATTCAGGCACAAATAAAAAAAAAAAAAGATACTGTACCTGCTTCAGAGAAGTTGCCACAGCAAAGCAGAGTGCTCGCAGTGGTAATGTGTCACCTCTTAGCTGTGCTTCTTCAAGCAGTTTTGCAGAGATTTTGCAGGCCTCCAGGTTGTCCTGCATAGAAATTTCAAACCTAAGTTGCACTTGTTATTCTTGTGACTTGAAAGGACTGTAGGCAATTGCAATCACAGTCAGGAGGCATTCAGAAGTCAACACACTGTAACATCACCAAGGTAATCCATACCAATCTGCACCAATCAAGCAGATTCTGTGCAGCACTTCTTGAGAAACACAACATCAAAATATGATATTCAAAGCTACAGAGTTCATAAAAGGGTAAAAATAATTTCCATTACTTTAACAACTATACCTTGCCCTGTTTTGGCTTTCACAAGAGATAAAACAGCTCCAGCAGTATGTTAAAACTGAACTACTCAGCACCATTACACGAAAGAAATCTGTGTATGTGCTAAATTTGAACACTCAACAATTTTTAGCCTCTCTTACAGATTAAATCTTGCAAGATGTTTCCAAAACAGATATTCTAATATGATAGCTTAGACATTTGCCTGTTTTCCAACACAGAAAGCTTCTATTATTGCTGGGACTATTTTCAATAGGAGTCTACAGTAAAAGCAGACAATGAGTTTACCTGTGTTTACCTCACAAATCATCAACTCTCAAAAACAATGCTGCTCACACTAGAAATTATGAGTAGAGCTGACTGGATCCCAAACAAAATAATACCTGCCAAACTTCAAAGCTGGCAGCAGGAATGTTTACTCACAGCTGTTACCACCAATATGGATAAGAGCCTTCATATTCCTTCCTAGTATTTGGTGTTGATTTTTGTCCATACTGTTCAAAGTCTCACACCTGCAAAATACTAGCTATGACTTAAGGGACAGGGTTATCCATTGGGTGTTTAAGGGATGCTTTTCCATGCCACTGCTGAATGGTCGGCACAGCTTCTGAAAATACCTTTCAAACTACATGAGAAAACTGTGGTTTAAAACACGTTCTTTGAAAACTCAGAAATATTCTGACTGCCAGAAGATTGATCATTATTACGTAAATATTTTGTTGCCATCAAAAGGCCTATAGCCCTTTTTTGCATAAGGAAGGACCATCTGTCAGCTTAGAGGATAGCAGTGCCTTCCAATGATTTAAAACAACTCAGAAGTGTTTAGAGTTGACCTCTAAAATGCTTCAATACAGAGATTAAACATTAATTCCTTTGCAATAATCTGAGCTTTAAGTCTTGTACATTTTTCTGTACTGGTCTCTGGCATGATTATTCAAAAGAAACCAAGAATTAACCTGGTAAAAATTCAGCACTGCTCCTAATGATACCACCACAATTACACACCACAGTGTTCAAGTACCGTATCTTAAAAATACTTCCCTTCAGGATTTTTTCTGATGTTTCTTATGTTGCATCACAAGCAAAAACACTTTTGAGCTTCATGTTTTCTCCTCCTACCACTAACAGCTGAATCAACAGATTAAACTTCTGAAAGCACTCCACCTAATCCTCTTTATTGCATAAAGAGCTACTACAGCTTATTCCCTTATTGACAATATTTTATCTTAACTAAAAAAAAGCCCACAAATTTATTTTGGCTGTTAAAACAACAGGGTGACAGTATAGAATCATTTTGCCTCTATTTTTAGCCATTCGCTAAGCAAGTAACGATGGGCCAGATTCTACACTGAAAACACAGGTAGGGCCAGAAGCAACAGAAAACAGAAGTCTCAGGAGCCTTGTCCTGTTACACCTGCCATGGAGCCAAGCCTTCTGACAGCAGTCCATTGACAGAAACATGCAAAGATTTTACAAAGAAACTACAGCAGAGAGAGTAAGGGATACCTCAGAGAAACAATGTGGGTTTCTGTGAAAGTCTTTACCTAAACAGGCAGGATACAGAGGATACACCAAGGAACAACCCTGAAGTGGTAAATATTGCCTCAGTGGATGCCAGTAGCAAACATCAGCTTATAAACTTGGGTTGTAGCATAATGTATGATGTCCTTGTACATTCAAAACTTTCTAAAAAAAGGCATCTTCTACGTAGAACTGGTAACATCCCTAAACTGACTGCAACCATCAATCTCTAGTTGTTTTTAACTGCAGAAAACTTCCACAGCTCTTTCTCAGCTCTGTCTACTGCCCTCCACTCTACAAACACTAAAGTCACATAGCTATTCCTACTTCCCCTGACCTAAAGGCAGCCCTGATTCATTAGAACTGAGAATTTCAGAAGCACTACATTGATTACTCCTGAGCTACCATTTTAGGTCAACTCCTTTTTATCACATATGCACTCAGTTTTGTTGTATGGTTAACTGAGAAACTTGATGAAGTTTAATCTAGTACTATATTTTTTCCTCAGCTAGTGTCTTTCTTCCTAAAAACATGGGGAAATTGAAGAATAGTTTCCTACTAAGTTTGGGAAGGGCCTATGTTAATATTTCGAATTGCAGAACTGATTCAAATTTGGAGCGGAAGATCAAAACAAAAAAGTTTGTGGATCTCACTGTACTACAAAAAGGAAACAGTTCTAAGGAAACACTCATAGAACCTGTGTAGCCTAGTTTCTTACCGTGTTTTCTCTGAGCTAAAAATACAGTTAAGCTCAAGGGGCAGCCTGTCTCTCGCTGAAGGCATTCATTTAGGGTTTTCTCCACTCAGCTGCCCATTTTAATCAGGCATGTAGGAACAGATTACCTTTGAGAATTCTAATCCTTGTCAAATTTGAGTGCAATTACAGAAATGGTTCACGATTACTTGGAGGGGGAGGAGTGAGATGGATGGGAGATGTCTGATAAACAGAATGTATCATGTATATGCCCTGTCTCTTAAGGAAGCCAGACTATAAACCCAATACAGAGGCTGAAGAACAGAGCATAGTCGGAAGAGATGCACAGATCCTAGAGAAAGAATACTATCAGCTTATCAACGGCTGTATGAAATTGGTTCTTTAGTGCTTATGTCCACGTAATTTTTTAAAGATTTGCTCTGTGACATTCATTTCTATGGGAAGCTATATATGTGCACCATATCACGCAAAATGAAGCAATTTAGGACTTAAATATGTCAAAAATATTTGCACTAGATAAGGAATCATGACTGGGAACACATGGAAATTTTAAAATAAAAAAACCAGGAAGACAAAGAAAAGGCATTTCAAATATTTTTTCATCATGTAAATTGAAAGTACTTACAAGTTTGTAGCATATTGCAAATGCAAGTAGATAGGTTTCTTTGTTGAAAGGTATACCTTGTTTTTTCATTTCTAGCAGAACTTCAAAAGCACCTATAAAAAATACATTAGTGTTGCTCACTTCACAAATTTAAGGCTGCACTTTTAGTAACTGGAGGAAAAAAAAATTAATAAACATGTTATGAGCTTAGTAAGTCTATTTCAAAATAAGAATGTAAACTGAAAATAATTAATTTAGGGCCAGGTGCGTGTATATATTTCTTCCCAGCAAGGAGTTTTTCAATCTACACTACCATCTGGCCTTATTGTTCTACTATTTTCATACAAATCTAAAACTAAACTCTAGATACTTGACAAAGCCACTTGCATTCTTCCTAATCGCCCAGAAAGCAAGCCTTTCAAATACGTGATCTGCCATTTTAGGCAAACTATCTAACAGCTCCTCAATAATGCACATGCTTCACTACACCACAAAACCACATTCAGGCTCTGATCTAGTTATTTTTACAGTGGTGCAGTCTCAACTTTTAGGACAACCGTTGGACTTAGATTTGCCTAACATCAAGAGACCAAGAGCTGTGTGTTCAAAAAATTTCAAATAAAGGGATTTGCTTATAAGGCTTACTCCATACTCAATTTAAGATGTTCTATGGAAAGTCTTCTCAGTCAGGTAATTCCCCCTTACCCTCACAAAACGACAAACTGGTTTGAAGCACTTGACTTAAATATTGCAGTAGACACTCTGTGTGGCACATTAGTAAGACAAATCAAGAAAAGACTATGGTCTGGCTTTGCTATCAAAGGAAAAAGGGTATCCCTCCCTGCTCTGACACAAATGCAGAACTGCCAAAAAAATTGTTGTTCCAAGAACCATGTAAACCAAACCTTTGAATAGAGAAAATAAAATAAGTTACAGTACATTACAAACAAAAGAGAAGCTAAGCCTCCAGAGAAGGAGGCTTAGGAAACAAGGCCGCCTGGATAACCACAATTCTTTACAACTGAGAGTGGCAAGAATACCACTGGAAGTATGAAACAAATACAGCCTTCCATTTTTATTGCACATTACAGTGCAGCTCATTCACATCTACACTGATTTACATGATGTTTGGCCTTCTAAAACCATATGCCAATCAACAATATTAATTAAAAAATAAGTGTTTATCACACACACTTACAGTAAGAGGCATTCTCCTCAAAATGCTTTTGCCTCACCAAACACAGTACTTACTTTCAAAATGGCCCTTTTTAAACAACATAGTCATCAAAATATGGAATGATGTACTCTCTGAGAAAAAGCCACGCAAATTCTGGAGAAAAAACATAGAAACACAGTAAGCTTAAAGAAAGTTAGAAAAGTGAGCATTCACGTGGATAGCATTTAGCAGGTCTTCCTAATGGAATAAGCCACATCTTCACAAGTTCAACAATTGAACTTTCGGGTTCCCGAAATGTCCCTCTGTCAAGTAACCTTTAAAATACCAGTGATCAAATATGGTCAAAAGCCCATTAAAATTAAACAGAAATTTCCCAGAGATTCCCACTATCCTTTTTTTTTTTTTTTAATTACAGATTGTGCCCTCTAAGCTAATGCAAGCAGAAGCCACTGACTAATGGCAACTCCAAAATCTCAGCAGAAATTAAGCTTGCAGCTGATTAACAATACCTTTGGGTTAAAGTACCACCACCATGAAACTGAAAGAATTTTTTGCTAATCACAATATCAAATGATGAACAGATCAGCATAAGGGCTTGAGTCATGACAAGCACAGTAGCAGAAGAAAGAGCAAGTATGTTTTACATTCCACTTCAATCACACTCTGTGTTGGCAATACATAAATAAAACACCAGAGGTATTAAGTCTAAATTTCTGCAGCAGAGTCTGAAGAAGTGGTACTGTACCTTACTATCCACCAGTTGCTAAGTCATATTCCTCAATCAAAACAAAACAAAAACCACACTAACTCTTACACATGCACAATTTAAGAACAGTAACCCAAGCAAGACTTCTCTCATTTCTGGCTAGGCATATGTCATGCCTTAATGAATTAACATCCTAGAGAGGACTTCCCACTGGCTGCCAAAGATTTTTGAAGACAGAACATTATTGCACAGAATCTTCTTAATTCATTCTACACTGGGCATGATTAATGTTTTATAGTATTTTACAAATGTTCAAAACCAAGTCCTTAAGTTTTTTCAGCACTAAAATGGCCAAGTTCCTGAGCTGATGAATATCGTACCACCTCTACGTGGTTCAGAGGGAGTTTGAAGTAGAGAGTAACATGATAAATCTGTTGGTGCAAATAACCCAAGGGATTTCAGAGGACTACTACATAAAAACCTGCAAGTGTTAGTAATCTAATGCAACACAGGATGCAGGAAAACATGAATCAGCTGTGTTCACAGGAGGAATTATTTTTTAATCAATACTTTTTATTCAACTGATACAATTACACAGAACTACAATAATAAAGCTATCAGTCAACCTAGCATTTAATTTTAAGTATTGTTTTGCTGTTTTAAAATAAAAACCATGTGCATCCTTACATCAATGTCACAGACATCCTTGCTGCTGCAACACATACACTTCAAGTCTATAAGCCCATGCAAGACCCATGCGTAGCGTATCAATTACTCATATTGGACTAACAATAAGAATATTTTCAAAATATAGGGGGGAATTACCGGATCTTTGATAAGTTCTACTGCAGGTCTTTCAAGGTCCAGCTCATAGCATAGCCTCATAAAGAGAGGCCCAAATTTAAAATTATGTAGGGCTGTGATTCCATTCTGTTCATGGTACCTATTGAAAAGATTAAAACAAATTAATTACACAGGGCATGGAATTTGTCAAGGGAAAACAGCTTTAAATAGACAGCAAGATCTGTATGTACAATGACAGAGGCATAGCTCTCTAGCCAGTCAACTACATTTAGATAATGGCTGATTAATTTTATGGAAAACATATTGGTTTGATCAAACTAATACATTAAATATTAATACATAATCTCTTCTATTTCCAGTAAAGTAACCTGCACTGGAATAGTAATAGAATGGGTCTCTGCCAAGAAAATTCCCAGCTACTTTACCTTCTATTCACAGAGCAATAGCACAGGAAGTTGCAGCTGTCAATTTTAGCAGCAGTACCTGCTAAAAAACCTCAATTTTTTCTCTCCGACACTAAAAAATAAATAGAAATATAAAAATAAAGTGTTGTACTTTTTTCTTCATAGCTCCTACTTTGCAACTGCTGGGAAGGCTTTCATTCATGAAACCTCCTGACCTGCCACTGCTAGGTCCAGACCAGTCTATATAACCAGGCATGTCTTAGCTGGAAAATGCCATTGAACACGCCACTATCTCTTAGCTGAGAGATGACGTTTCTCTGTGGCTCACCATTCATTTTGCATACTGTAGGAAACCACCTTGCTCCTGTAGCTTGAGTGTCCTTTGATCTATGAGTGTCTGAAGGGTTGGAAGATCCAAAGTACATCAAAATACAGCTTTAGTTTAAGGGATTAACTATGCATCTAGTCACTAAATTAGGGCAAGCACTTAACAGCAGACATAACCTGAGATGATCTAATAAAAGCAAAAAAAATAAAGACAAAAAAGAGTGTTACTAGGATTGTTAAGAATACCTGTAAATAGCTTCTCTGGCTAGTTCCACATCTGATGAAGTCTGACATAAATGTAGTAGATTTTTTAATTCATTTCTGAGAATAATTCCATTTTTCTTTAATTTTTCTTTAATACTTTTAAAATATGGATCTGAAAATAAAACACATTATAGCAGCAGTCTGTACACAATTCCATGACCTGTGTTGCATACTTAGTACGTGAAACATGGAGATTTAATGAACCAGAAAGTTTAGTTTTTTCACCAAGAAAAATGCATAAGGACAAGCATGCCTATATATTCCCAGGAAGTCATGTCAGACTTGGAAAAACAAGTGAGCTTATAGTGAGCTTAATTTCACTGTGTATGTTATGGAATATATCAGCTAATACAAAAATGTTAAAGAAGAAGGAAGTTTTATAAATGACATTTTCTGTCTTATGGTCTTTTTTCAAAAAGCAATCAAAAACCAAAACCAATCCTATTTAACATTCAAACGAGCATAAGAACTTCTACTCAACCCTGTTCATACAGAAGATTTAAATTCATTCAGAATTGATGCAAACACAGAGAGTCTCATACATAATCTATCTACTTCTATACATATCTATAAACATAGAGTTGCTTCCCTTCTCCCCCCAAAAAGAGGTTTCTCTTTCCAGCACACTTTCCTATGACAAAAGCAAGCACAATGACAAATCCTTCATTTGGTAATCTCCAGGCTCTGATTCAGACATACATAAAATTAGAATCATATGTACCACCTGGCGGCCCCATTCCTCTAATGGTGCTGCCCCCTGACCTGGGCAGGGAAATGAAATTTTTGTAGCAGTTGCTGTGCCATTGCTGTTTCCAAGCTAGTAACCTACACAAGAGGTGCAAAGTGATCACCCCAGAGAAGAATATATTCACAGCTACTGGACGCTTGTCTGCTACTACATGCAAACACAAGTCCTCCCTCAAGACAGAGATGCAGACCTGAATACTATGAAATCAGAAGAATGCGGATTAATGGTCGTGCACAAATTTAAAAAACACCTGGGATCTGAACTGCATTTGTAACGAACACGTAAGAGTTATTAGAACTACTGAAGGTAATCGTTTAACTGCTGTAGTTAATTAGTATAACTATTACAGTTAATAGTTGCATCATAGCTATAATAAATAATAGCTATTATATATTCTGCGTAACAGAATAGTTATTACTGCTTTTTCCATTTCTAAACCATGTTTATTACTAGCCCTAATCACTTCCTTCATCTTTCACGTACAGGACGAAACACCAAGTATAGAAACCATGTACACGTTTACATAAGTAGGTGCTCAGCACATTGTTTTCATCAGTTCTCAGAGGCTACTGCTGGTACAAAACAAAAAGCTCAGCTGTGACCTGTAAAGCCAAATATTCGGCTTCCACAAACCTGTTTTAGCAAGAGTGACTGACCCATACCAACAAATTAAATGTATCTCAAGTACACAATGAATAATCCCCAATATGTGTATGTCATCTTCACAGCAAAATATAATAACACTATGACTTACCACTGCCCAATTTAAATTCTACTTTTATTTAATATAGAAAAACTGTCACATTGACTTTATCTCCCTCTCTGTCTCAGAAGACTGGTTTATATAAATTTGATTATTTGTCTCTTCCTTCACACGCACACACAATAATTAACTACATCCTTTGGAACAATTGTCAATTTGTATCACTAGAACACCTGCATATGATTAAAAAGGTGCAGGAAATGGAGTTTTACCTAACCTTTTTTAAATAGTAAGGTCAGATTTATGTTTATATGTATGTTCCTTAAAGAAATGAATTAGTATACACTTTAAACGGCAAAACCCCCACCAGAAAAATCCACCGATCTTATTCCTTAGTTTGGAAAACCTAAATTTGCTTTTCATACTCTGAGTATGCACACATCACCTGGAATTGGGTGTACAACTGAAAACTTACATTAGGTAAAAGGAAAAAAACCCTAAAAGTATACACTAACTAAATTTACAGAGCAGATTAAAGGAGAATTACCAGAATAAGCCTCTGGATAGCTAAGTAACTCTTAGGCTTTCTATCAGCTTTCTCTGCTGACAATATATTTGAAGGAAAATTTGTAAACTGAAACAGTATTTTCTATTAAGACTATGTGGCGAAGTTGGAAAAGCAAGAACACAAATATTGCAGGTCTTACGTAAACACTTTGCATACCTGAAAATTTGAGGAATATATAAGTTGTTGCTTTAAACTGGGTCAGAAGGTGTCATATTATAATGATTATGATTGTCTTGTTTCCTAGACTTAGACTGAAACTGAGAATGATGACTGTGAGATAAATACTAATACCTTTATTGCCATGAACTTCATTTCTAATTGTCACTTTCATCTGCTGAAATTCTTGTAACTTAATATCATCTTCTGTTAGCAGATACCGCTTCCCTAACACAAGGGAAAAAGAGAAGGTTAAGTTTTACGTCATACTGTCTGTTTTAATACTACTGAAATTTGCTTTTATGAATTATTGCTGTTAATTATTGTGAGATGCCAGACCACTGGCAGCAGGACACTTAAAAAAGAATGCAAAAATTGCAGTTGCTCACATCACTGGCAAAAGAACCCAAGCACTGTCACAGTTTTCCAGAGTTAATGTGTACAAGGATGAAGAGGTATGTATTTACTGGATATGTAAAACTAGAGACACCATTCCTCTCCACCCAGCCAAGGTACAAGACGATTCTGCACAAGAACGAGGTCTTTCTCCCCTTGAATGCCTTTATAATGATTTGTCATGTCATGTCTTTGGTCACCACAATTCACTAGTCACACAGCTTCCCTTCCTCAGATGTGCTGACCCTGCTACTGTAAAATGCATCCTTCTGGAAGCTCCAAACACCGTAGGAAAACAAAAGGAAAAAACACAAAGCTTATTATTTGAATTGTAGTAATACCCAGGACACCTAAGGAAGTTCTGGTGCAGTGCAGACATTACACATAAGACAGTCACTGAGTCTAGAATCTCAAAATAAACTTTGGGTGTAGACCTCAACTGTACTTTGTTGTAAGGTCCTTTAACAGAAGTGTCAAACAGATGCTATTTGTGAAGGTTTTGCTATCACACAACCAGCTCCCCAGCAATATTTGTAACCAATGATTTTGTAACAGACAGCCACTGCAACAGTTTACATTGTCATGATCTAATTTTTTAAGTTTTTGGCTTCTTAAAGAATTATTCTAACCAGGACGGTACAAGTGCAAGCATTGACCTGTATTAGGCTATTTATTCTCCTTCAGCATTTCCCTAGAAAAATGTAACAGCCCATGCAGATAAAAACTCTTGTTTTCTATGCAAGCAAAGCATACTAATGACACACTTCATATAATCTGAAGAAAAAATTGCACTAAACGTCACCTCCAGCCATTAAATTTACTGGAAACAGTTACAATGGGTAAACAAATAGACTTTATCCAGCATGAAACTGGCCTGTATTACCTTGCTATTTATTTCCCACAGACCTCCTCAGCTGGGCTAACACTAAAAGACCATCCCTTTTGTAGGCCTCTCCAGAGCTGAGGCGGGAATCGTGCCGGTGCTGGGGGTGGGAGAAGTGCACCACACCGTGTGGACACTCCAGTAGTCCAGCATCAGCCATCCCGGAGACCTTAACCAACCAACCTGCTTGATTTGTGACCCTCTCAAAGGAAGGTCAGTGAAGAGCAGTTGGCAGGCCACCATGCAGCTGGGAGGATCATCATGTTCTCTGAGGGGTCTAACAGAGCCATAAACTGAGCCACACATCGACTTGATGCAGCAGGCCAGGAGCCCAGACGGGGCCTGTGCTGGGGAGCCCTGTGCCATACACCCCCTTTCCACAGGCTGCCATTTTGTTCTCTGGGCGAGGGAGTGTTTTTAAAAGGCCTCTGAAGCCCAGGAGTGGTGGTGGTGGTGACAACCAGCAGGTGCAGCCCAGCGTCTGGATAACATTGCACTCCTCCCAGAATAAATACGCATTTATAAAGCTGCAGCTTTTTGTCTGTTTTTTTTTTTTCCAGTGGCTCGTCTCCAGCCAGCGGCAAGCATGGGATAAACCCAGTGACGCTGCTGCCAACCCTCCCCGCGGGGTAACTGCCCACCGCAGCATCAACGGGACCGCTTTGAAGCCCACCGGGAGACCCTCGGCGCTCCCCCCTCCATTCCCGGCGCCGAGAGGGGCATCCCCCGCAGGAACTACAACTCCCGTCAGGCACAAGGCTGCCGGCGCTCGCCGGGTCTGTCGGGAATGGTAGTACTCCAGTCGCCCCCCCGCCTCAGGCAGCGGGTAGGCCCGGGACCCCGGCCGGGCACCCCGCCGCCTGCCCACCGCCGCGCAGCCCGCCGTACCTCCCGGCGCGCAGCCCCAGCATCCTGAGGCGGGCGGGCGAACCGCCGAGCGCCGCACCGCCTCCCGCACCACCCGCTGGGAGCCGCCGGCGAGCACCGCCGCCATCTTGCGCCCGGGCCTGTCAGCGGCAGCCGGGAGCGAGGCGGGGCGATCGCAGGCCGGCCCAGAGCCGCCCCTCGCCTCCTCCTCCCTCGGCGCCATGGCCGCCCCCATGCTCAGGCGAGGCGTGCTCTGGAGCGGGAAGGCCTTCAGCGCCTCGGCAGGTCGGTGGTCCGTTGGCGAGGCGGCAGCGGGGCTGGCTGTGGCGGCGGGGCGAGAGGAGTGCACTGAGGGACGGGACGGGACGGGACGGCGCGGGCCGGGCCGGGCCGGGCCTCGGGGAACAGGCCGTGGCGGGACGGGCCCTCAGGTGGGAGTAGTTGCCGCCGGCTGCGGTGGCCGCTGCCGTGGGGAGCGTGAGCGGGGACGTGCAGCTTCCCTTTCGCCTTTATACACGTATATTCATCAATGGAGACATCTCTGGGAACGGCGTATCTCTAGCATGCGGAGTGAGAGAGCATCCTTAATTTGTTTTCTATCGGTATTCTGCTTTGCTGATTTCACAGCTTGAAGAGAAGGCTCTGAGGAGACCTTGTAGCAGGTTTCCAGTATCTGAAGGGAGCATACAAGAAAGCTGGAGAGGGACTTTTTACAAGGGCATACAGTAATAGGGCAAGGGGTAATGGCTTCAAACGGGAGAAGGTAGATTTGTATTAGATATTAAGAAGAGGTGAGAAGGTGGTGAGACACTGGAAGAGGTTGCCCAGGGAAGTTGTGTATGCCCCATCCGGGGAAGTGTTCAAGGCTGGGCTGGATGGGGCTTTTTGGGTCACGGGAAGCCACATGGCAGCAGCCACCAAGTCTGCAGCAGTAAGTGTTCAGCACAGCCTCATAGCTCAGGTGACAGAAGCGCAACCAAGACCGATGTTTCTGAAAAGCTACCTTTGCAAAAATCCTGACCTTTGGGAAGAACTGAACTCTGTAACGTTTACTTAAAGTGTGGTGATGATAGGTAACTTTATGGTGCCTTTTCAGCTTCCCCGAGCAGAAACTTCTCAGTGCTGCTTCCTGGTATCTGGGTGCCCATGTCTCAGAAATGCCACCCTTTCCTCTGCACTAGAGCAGCTCAGCAGTAAAACAGCATTAAGAGCTCAAACCTGACCTCCACCTTACCTAAGCAAAGCACTGTCACACTGACAGTTGCTCGTGCTATAGGAAACAGTTCTTTAGCCCTAAGGCTTGCTACTGGCATCCTTAGCTGTGAGTTAGTGTACAGAAATTTATCCTAAAAAAACCCCCAAACTCTCTGTGTGGCTCTTTTATCAACCTAATGAAAAATAGCTTTAAAAGAAACTCCACCAACCAAACAAAAATATCTCTTTTTATAGTTTTCTAACTGTTTGGTAAAGCATTGTATGTATTCTCATAACCTGTCTGTGGAAGTCCATGTAACAGGTCTTTTTGACAGAAATCTGCAAAGATGTTCAGAGCTGGGGGTGTCTGTGTAATTGCATGTCAGAAGGAGGATGAAGAGAAAAATTGTCTCACACCCAAGAATAACAAACTCTTTGTGATAGCAGATAGATTTTCAGATAAAGGCTGTAAAGTAGTTGCTAAGAATTCTGTGTAGCACAGTAGTGTCTATTTTTAAAATATTTCATGTTTTTAAGACTAATTTTTAAGACTAATGTATTTCTATATCTTCCTTCAAAAAATTTTAAAACCAGATGTTTCTGATACATCTTTAAGGCTTCATCATATATGAGTGATGCACAAACGTGGATTTTCTTCCAACTGAAGTATTTTCCATTTTGTTTCAAAAGCAAGAGCAGTGTCTTGAGCAGATTTCAAAAGTAGTACAAAGAGTACTTGGAAAAAACTTTCAAAAATATTTGAATGGACTCTGCAATTCACAGGACATGCAAAAAAAAAGAGATGATCAAAAATGGAGTATTTCCAGATGACCGTCTACCTTTAATTTCCAGTGAGACAAATCTTTACAGGTGGAAAAAATAACCATCCAACAACAACAGAAAAGCCTTTTTGCATGTATTCATCTTTTTGCTTATGCTTTTATACTTACATTTAGCTAACTGATAGCATTTGATGAGAAAGGTCTATGTGCACTAAGAAACTATCCTTTATTATTGTTTAGGTTTTTTCTACCTTTACAAATTAATCACTTTCTTAAATACAAAGTCCATGTTTGGGAAGATTTGTTTCATGCTGAAAAAAACTTCTAGGGGAAAGCTTTTCTGTTTTAAAAATGACAAAGTAACCACATACAAGGAATCAGAACTATTATCGTAGTTCCTGCTGACAACTGTGTCATAAAGACAGTTTAATGCATGCAACTCAGTAAATGTGGCAGAAAAAGGTGATACCTAATGAAAGGTTAGTTTGTTTAGAGATGTCTAAGCAACCTGGCTTATGTGGTGATTTTTTTCTTCATTAGGTAGAAGATCTCTGCTTTCTGTGGCCTATGTGGACAGCTCAAAATGGGAAAAGAGACAAAAAGAAGAGCATAGCCTGGGTGAGAAAAGTTTGTTTCTTTGCAACCTGAATTAATTTTAAACTAGCTCGTCTTCTATAAATACTTGAAGATAAAAAATATGCGGATCAAAATGCTTCTGAGGTTATATGTCAAAATCTGCTCAACATGTTTAAAGTCTGTCATATATATTCAAACCTATAATGCAGGAACAAGTTAGAATTTGCCCATTTAATTAACACTCGTATCCACAAGCTTTTTTTTTTTTCTTTCACAAAATCCAAAGCTTTTATGAATGTCATAGTTTTTTGTCTGATGGTTAAAACTGTCTCTGGATGTCCTCTTCATTGACTTCTTTTAATTGTAGTGCAGTGTGAAAGAAAGTATTACAGGGCATTCCTGTTTAAAAATGTTTGTTTAAAAGAACATTTCTTTTAAAGAACATTTTTCTCAGAGTTTTGCAGGAGGGAAAGTTAGATTTCTTAATGAAATTTTAGATTATTTTTGGGGGGGGAAATAGAATCTTAGAATTGTTTAGGTTGGAAAAGACCTTTAAGATCATCAAGTCCAACTGTAAACCTAACACTTTACACACCTGTAAACCAAGTCCACCACCAAACCATGTCCCTAAGTCACATCTACACCTCTTTTAAACACCTCCGGCAATGGTGACTCAACCGCTTTCCTGGGCACCCTGTTTCAAAGCTTGACAACCATTTCAGTGAAGAAATGTTTCCTGATATCCAATCTAAGCCTCCATTCACACAACTTGAGACCATTTCCTCTTGTCCTATCACTTGTTTCTTGGGAGAAAAGACCAACTCCTGCATCTCTACAACTTCCTTTCGGGTGTTTTAGAGAACTAGAAGGTTTCCCCTCAGCCTCCTTTTCTCCCCACTTTGCTCAGCCACTCCTCATAAGACTTGTGCTCAAGACTCTTCACCAGCTTGGACATGCTCCAGCACCTCAGTGTCTTTTTTTGTAGTGAGGACCCCAAAACTGGAGACAGTATTCAAGGTGGGGCCTCGCTAGTGCTGAGTACAGGGGGACAATTGCTTCCCTAGATACAGGCAGATACATTGTTGGACTTCTTGGCCACCTGGGCACACTGCTTGCTCATGTTGAGCCAACGGTCAACCAACATCCCCAGGTCCTTTTCTGCCAGACAGCTCTCCAGTCACTCTGCCCCAAACCTCTAGCGCTGCATGGGGTTGGTGGGACCCAAGTGCAGGACGGGACCCAAGTGCAGGACCTGGCACTTGGCCTTGTTGGGCCTCATGCCATTGGCCTCGGCCCATCCACCCAACCTGTCCAGATCCCTCTGTGGAGCCTTTCTACCCTCCAGCAGATCAACACTCCCACCCACCTTGATGTTATATACAAATATACTGAGTACAGTCGATCCCCTTGTCCAGATCATTGATAAAGATACTAAACAGACCTGGCCCCAATACTGAGCCCTGAGCACAACCACTAGTGACCAGCTGCCAACTGGATTTAACTCCATTCACTACCACTCTCTGGGCCCAGCCCTCCAGCCAGATTTTTACCAAGAAATAGTACTCTCATACAAGCCATGGGCCACCAGTTTCTCCAGGAGGAGGCTGTGGGAAATGTTGCCAAAGGCCTTACTAAAGTCCCAGTAAACAACATCTATAGCCTTTCCCTCATCTGCTAAGCAGGTCACTTATGAAATGAAACTAAATATTTTAATTTTGAGAAGGCGTACATTAAATTGTATCTGCATGTGGTACTGAGATCTCTCATGCAAATTTCATAGCTAAATTCTTTGGCTAGATTACATTTGAAATTACATTCCACCATCTTTGTGGTGACTCTGTGAAACAGAAAGCATAATGCAAAACATTTTTCCATGCTAAAGGTACATATGCATTATTTTGTACCACGAGTGTTTTGGAGACCCCTTAATGCATAATCTCTGTCTTCCATTTTTCAATTCTGGGGCCCTGAACTGTGTTTGTTAATTGTGACATGGATTGTGAGGCTGAAAGAAGAATCAGTAGGTGAAATTCAAGGGCTTTTTGTCAGGTGAGAACAGAGAAAATTATCAGAGTAGTGGTTTTTTTATGCTCTAATTTGCTTCTGTTATTTGCCTGTAAACAGCTAGATTGGTGTTAACATGCTTTGCTGTACATGGGCCATAAACAGCCAGTGGGTGCTCATGACTGTAGCTGTATCTGCAGAGACTGTTAATACCTTGTAACCTTCTACTGTCAGTAGGGCTGTTCATGCAGTGTTTTTTGAGCTGGAGCCACAGCCTAGTGCCCTAGCATGCATTGGAACTGGTCACTTCCAGATGAAGAAGAGTTATTATTTTGACAAATGTCACAGGCAATAGAAATCCACTATAGAAGAAAACGTCGTGCAAGAGCTGTTACAGTCCCATGTTTGGCTTTCCCCAGGCCTGGCAAGACCTTTTGTGACTGTTTGGCAAGCACAGTTCTTGCTGCTGCTCTGCCAATGGTCTTGATCCAAAGCAGATGTCTGTTCCATGCTTTTCAAAGAACTACTTTGCATTTTCATTTTGTGTTCACAGAAAAGAGAAAACAAGTTAACACAGTGTCAGCTATATTAGCATTTTCAAAGAGAAGACAGCCCTGCAGACGTCTGCTCTGTAGCTGTCAGCTGTATGGTTGCACATAC